GTACAAACAGGCATGTCATCTCCACAGGTGCCTTTCCAACAACTGGAAGTGATTGTTAATCACGCTTTCCTAAAATCAACCATAATTAGCTTCTCAAGCCAAAGCAGAGTCGGAATTCCACATGACCAGACGAGAGAGGGAGAGAGTGTGGTCTGCTTGTGGGTGCACTAGCAAACTCGGCCAGCATCACTTACAAGGCTCCTGTAACTGACCGCGGAAAGAGAGCTACACATCAGCCTCTCATCCTTGGTGGGATGGTCAGGTCCTCTCACAGGGCTCCAGAGTGACACCCAGCTCCATGGTCCCACAAATGCACCCTCTTTGTTGATCGGGTATGGAAGTCAGTTACTCACACGGAGCCACCTTATAGGACTCCAAGCCTAGAAACGAGTGTTTTTAACGTTATAAACAATATACCATGAAGCTGGGAAACCAAGGCCTTATTGCGCACTGTCTGTACTACACATCAACAAGTATCTCAATAAAACCACCTTAGATCTCACATACAAGTCAGTGCATTCTCCTGAGCGTCTCCCAGCCAAGCGTTGTGGACCGCAGGCTCTACCGACTGACCTATTCCCCAGTCACCGTCCAGTCAAGTAGCGTGGCCTGTACTATGGAGGGAGGAAGAAGCTCCTTGGTCAGAGCATTGCCAAGGGATCATGGCCAAGCACAGGTATCCACAAAGGCTGGTTGGGGTTTGCATAGAATGGGGAAAAGGCAGGGAGAGAAGGTCTACTTTGAGCACAGGACAACAGCACAGCCCTGAAGAACTGGATGGGAAGGTAAAGTTCAAGGGCATCTCAGAAGCCCTGATAGACACCATAGGCTTTCGGAAGGACTTCCAAGTTCTCCTCTTTGCTGCAACGCTCCCATGGCTAAGAATGATGGCAACTGGGACCATTTAAGTCCTTCCACATGTATTCTGAGTTGGACTTTGAACTTGATAGGACAGAGTAGAAAGGTCAGAGTCAGAGATCAGGGTTATAAGACATTGCCAGCAGTAGTTTTGCAATTTTTAAAAATGAAAGAATGACACTCCATGGAGATGCTAGTTAGATTTTTCAGCCATCTTACTCTTCTATCTTTGGGGGGGTGGGAGGAGCCCACGCAGGGAAAGGAGGCCTGGTGGTGTAGTGGGCTCCTCACTGGGCTGCTAACCCGAAGGTCAGTGGTTCAAACCCGCCAGCCGCTTCCCAAGTAGGTGCGCCGGTGATATAGTAGGCTACAAGTTGGGCTGTTAACCACAAGATGAGAAGTTCAAAATCACCAGCCTCGGAAGACAGAGGAGGTTTTAAGAGTTTCCATTTCAGAAACCGACAGAGGCGATTCTACCCTATCCTATCTGACTGCTATGAGCTGGAATCAACCCCATGACCGTGAGTTTGAGAGGGTGGGCTGCTTCACAGGAGAACGAGGAGGCGTTTTGCTCTCATAAAGATTTACTCACAAGGATAATTCCCGGTTCTATTGGGTCTCTATGAGTTGGAATGGATTTGATGACTGAATTAGAGTGAAGGGGGTGGGGGGCACCCCTAGATCCAGAAAGGAGCCGTAGGATAAGTGACCAGACGTCCTGCTTTTGGCGGGACAGTCCCGATTTTTAACAATTTTTCCTGCATCCTGCGGCGTTTTAAAAGAATCCCGATTTTTGAAAAGAATGCACGACTAGCTAGGGTATACGGTTTTCAGCTGCCATGTGGCTATTTCGCCAGGATATGAGTTTTACACATAGTGTCCCGCTTTACCAATGTTAAAATCTGGTCACCTTACCGTAGGAGCTCAGGTGCAAGACCTAGTCCCTGAGGCCCAGTGGTTAAAATACTCAGCTGTTAACCCGAAGGCCAGCAGTTTGAATCTATTAGCCACTTGATGGAACACAGATGGGTGAGTCTGCTTCCGTAAAGAGTTACAGCCTTGGAAACCCAGAGGGCCAGTTCCATTCCATCTTTTAGGGTGGTGATGAGTCAGAATTGACT